TTAGGTCTCAAGTGTTGAGACCTCGGGCATGGGTGGCAGCAGAGGAAACAGTGAGGGAGTGCAGATATGAGGGACACTTGGAGGGAAGACCTGAAAGGATGTAGTTGCCAGTGTGGACATGAGGGCAAAGGAGACAGAGACGTGGAAGAAGGCTTCAGGCTTCCTAGACCGAGAGCCTTATGATGTCAGGAATAGTTGGGACTTCTTGAGATTCAGATAAACACAACTTGTCCAAAAGGTGATTAAAAATAAGGGGCTACAGAATTTTTGTAAAAATGTTGAGAAATCAGTGCTAGAGATATAGTTAGAGTAATTTCTGAGCTGAAAGGCACCTTTTCCCTCACAGTGGCAGTTGGAGCCTGGAGTGAGTGCGCTCTTCCTTTTCCTGAGGGGACACATGGGGAGGAGGGGGCAGCAGCCAGCAGTCTCAAACTCATGTAGGATTCAGCCCCACAGCTCAGCATTGGAGAATGACAGAGAACCAGCTCCAATGGTCTCCTTTTTTTTGGCATAGAATTTACTTATACAATTTTATTATTTTAATATGCTTTTGCTGTGGAATCTTGAAAATTAATTTATTCAGCCCATCAAAATACTCAGGTTTGGCAGATTACTTTTTCACTTAAAAATCTATCTAGAAAAATAAAATCCAGCATTTTATCTTTGCATTCTGTTTTAAATGTTGTACATGGAATTGGAGAATAGAGAATTTGAGCTTTGCTTTGTCAGGTACAAAATGTGATTATTTCATATCTTCACATCTCTATTTGTCTTGGGATTTTTACCTCCCTCTCTTCCTCAGGAGCCTTCTAGTCCTCTCCACAAATTACCTGCTTCTTTAGGGGTTGTTGCTTCTAATCCAAAGGGGCTTTCAGGTCACAGAAGTTCCTCCCAGGATGGAGGTGACCCCCTCTGTGAGTCCTACCACAGACTCCCCACTTCATAACAGCACGGTCCGCCTGCTGTAGCAAGTCCTTACAGCAATCAGGAAGGACTCAGAGTCATATTTGTGGAAGAAAGAGATTATTACAGTACCTGGAGGGAGGAGGAGGGGAAAAGCCCAGGATTCGGCTCTTGCCCTTGAGCTGTAAATTCTCAAGGACTCTCTTGTAAATCTCCTGAAATCGCTGTTAGAAATCCACATTCCATTGGAGAACAGTGTAGGGTTATCAGATAATCGTTTTTGAGGCCTTTCTCCCAGCTCTCACATTTTGAAAAAAAACTTCAGAATACAACTGCAGAGTAAATCTCCATTTTAATAGTGGTGTTTTTCTTATTTAGCACGAAAGAAATCAGATCCTCCCAGCTGGTATATCCCAAACAAATACACACATATATATGCACACACACATGTGCTTGCACACACCTCAGATGCCTTAGGACAGTTGTTTCTTTTAAGTGGACACAAGTACAGATTGAGCATCCCTAATTCGAAAATTTTAAATCTGAAATGTCCTAAAATCTGAAACTTTTGAGTGCTGACATAATGCTGGACTTTCGGATTAGGGATGCTTGACTGGTATGTATCCTGAAAATATTTTACAATCTGAAAAAATCCAAAATCCAAAACACTTCTGGTCCCAGGCATTTCAGATAAGAGATATTCAGCCTCTACCAGCCATGCACTTCAGAACCTACTGAGCTTTCTCTAGTTAGGCTGAGGTAACTAAACAGCATGTAGAGTTAGGTATTGCTTACTTTGATACTCTCCCACCTTAAAATGACCATGTTGTCTCAAAGAATTTCTAATGTTGTCTTTTTTTCTCTCCTTCCAGAGGGCCAGTTGAGAGTGGATGCCAATATATCTGTGCATCACCCTGGGGAGCCATGGGGCATTCGAACTGAAGTGAAGAATCTCAACAGCATCAAGTTCCTGGCCAAAGCCATAGGTGAATGTCAGCTGTTACTTCTAACGTACTGCTTTGTATCAGTTATCTCTTGCTGTATAAGAAGTCACCCCAAAACTTAGTGTCTTACACAATAACCATGTTCATTTTCACAGTTCTGTGTGGATTGGGTGGGTGGTGTTACTGGTGGTCCTCCTCAGCTCACTCATGGCTGCAGGAAACTGGCAGGTCAGCTGAAACAAGGGCTCTAGGGTGGCCTCACTCACATGTTGGTGCCTTGGTGCTGGATGTCTGCCAGGCTTCTCTGTCCATGCAGTATTTCTTCATTCACTTGCCTAGCCGAGGCTTTATTATTTGGCAGTGGGAGTGTTCCAGGAGGATGAAGACTGAAGCCTCAAGGCCTCTTGAGTCCTAAGCTTTGGAACTCGCACAATGTCACCTCCAATAATTCCTTTCAAAGCAGATTGAACTTATTTATTTTTAAAGATAATTTATTATACATATGTGTGGGGTACAAAGTTGACTTTCAGTAGTTGTGTACAATGTGTGATGGTCAGATCAGGATAATTAGCTTATTCATCATTACAATACGTAGTCATTTTTTGTGTCCATTAACCAGTTTCTTGTTAACCCCCCTCCTTCTCCCCCACCCCTCTCCTCCCCTCCTCTTTTCCACCTCCAGTGACCACATATTTTTTCATCTAAAAGTTTCAATGTATTATTGTGATTGTTGTTTCTCTGTCTCTCTCATTCTTTATTTGTTTATTTATGGATTCGGGTCCCACTTATGAGTGAAGACACGAGGTATTTTTCTTTCTGCACCTGGGTTGTTTCACTTAGCATGATTTTCTCCAGGCTCATCCATGTTGCTGTGAATGGCAGAATTTCATTCTTTTTGTGGCAGAGTAGTATTTCGTTGTGTATATATACCACATTTTCCTTATCCAGTCAGTCATCTGTCAGTGGACATTTAGGTTAGTTCCGTATCTTGGCTATTGTAAATAGAGCTTCAGTGAACATGGGAGTACAGGTATCCCTTTGACATGATGATTTCCAGTCCTCTGGATATATACCCAGTAGTGGGATTGCTGGATCATATGGTAGTTCTATCTGTAGTTGTTTGAGGAAACTCCATACTGTTTTCCATAATGGCTGTACAAATTTGCAGTCCCATCGATAGTGCAGAAGGATTCCCCCTTTTCCACATTTTTGCCAGCATTTGTTATTCTCAGTCTTTTTGATAATAGCCATTCTAACCAGGGTGAGATGATATCTCAGAGTAGTTTTGATTTGCTTTTCCTTGATGAGTAGTGGTGTCAAGCATTTTTTCATACACCTGTTGGCCATTTATATGTCCTCCTTTGAGAAATGTCTATTCAGCTCCTTTGCCCATTTTTTAATTGGGTTATTTGGTTTTTTACTATAAAGTTGTTTGAGCTCTTCATATATTCTGGATATTAATCCCTTGTCGGATATATAGTTTGCAGATATTTTCTCCCATTCCATAGGTTGTCTTTTCACCCTGTTGTTTGTTTCCTTTGCTGTGCAGAAGCTTTTTAGTTTGATATAATCCCATTTGTTTATTTTTTCTTTTGTTGTCTGTGCTTTTGGGGTCTTATTCATAAGGTCTTTGCCTAGTCCTACATCCTGGAGTGATTCTTTCCCGTATGTTTTCTTCTAGGAGTTTTAAAGTTTCAGGTCTTATATTTAAGTCTTTAATCCATTTGAGCTGATTTTGGTATTTGGCAAGAGGTATGGATCAAGTCTCATTCTTCTACATGTGGATGTCCAGTTTTCCCAGCACCATTTATTGAAGAGGCTCTCCTTTCCCCATTGTATGTTCTTGGTGCCCTTGTCGAAGATCAGTTGGCTATAGACATGTGGGTTGATTTCTGGATTCTCTATTCTGTTCCATTGGTCCGTGTGTCTGTTTTTTTATTTGTTTTTTTTTTCCTTTTTGTCTTTTTTCGTGTCCGGCAACGGA